TAACACAATCGCTTGATTTCAAAGGTTAGTGATGTGTGTGTGTTTGGCCGTTAAGTTTAATGCATGTGTGAGTGTATGTATGTATGAATGACTATTATAAGCTCTAATATACTGTATATTTCACTTTGTACTCTATTATACCAATAAAGCAATGGAAATGAAAGCTAATATTTTTGCTGTATTTTTCATAAGAATTTTTCGCAAACTTTTTATATTTTTTTAAAGCAATTTTGTTTTTGTTTCATTGGAAAGACCGATGACCTGAACCACTGTTTTTTAATGAATTCAATGGTAACGTAAAGTGCAGTTTTGTTCCCCACACACACACATACATACACACTATTACTCCGTTTTTTTATTTCTATTACTTCTCTATACTGTCACATAAACTATAAATTATCATAAGTTTGTTTTTTATTAAATTCTTTAAATTTTTTATATAATTTCCAAACTATAACATTAACATTGTTAGACATATACCGGTACTACTACTACTACATATATATATATATTTATAAATAAGGCTTAAAACTTTTAACTTAAATGATAATTTCTTAAATAATTTTATATTGTATATATTATATATATTTAAAAATTACAATATTGATAATTGGTACCAATTAATAGTTTAGTTTGAAATGATGTAATATTTGTATTTTGATAATTGTATATACAGTATAGTATTTGAAAATCTTATGTGAATTTTTTTATTAGTTTAAATAATAACTTAACTTAATTTGACTCAATTGTGCCAACAGACTCATTCTCTCTCTCTCTCTCTCTCTCTCTCTCTCTCTCTCTCTCTCTCTCTCTCTCTCTCTCTCTCTCAAGTGTGAGTTTAACCAAGTATTACAAGTAAATAAAAAAATAGATAAATAAAAGATAATATGAATTTATATACAAGTATTCGGCTAATTAAAAGCATTTCAAAGTATATAGTTTCTCAAAAAAGCTTTAGTATTCAAATTCAGATAAAAGTTAGTAGTGTTTGAATTTGATATTCAGTTTACTTATATATATAATATATATATATAAGAATTTTATCTCATTTTTATGTGTTTCCACTTTTATGTTACATAATATACTGTATATGATATTACAAATAAAAACTTTTTAAGAGCATAAAAAATGTTGATTTTGCTATAAATTAAAAATACATAAACATATATAACTAAGAAATTACCCTAAAAAATAATTATTAAAAATAATTATGCAATTAAATTATTTTATTATATCATATAATAATTATAATAAAATGAGTTTAACTAAAGTTAATATTAAAAGTAATTATTATTATGTTAATTTTTTAATATATTATTTTTTCTGTATTTAATTAAAAGTTTATATAAAAAAATAATTAATTTGTTTAATAATAAGTTTGCCGGTATATTTTTTAATGTATAATATATATTATTGATATATACATACTTTTAACTCAAACCAAAAGTTTTATTGCACTTTTAATGAATGCAGTGGTGTGTGTGTGTGTTGAGCCAGTGCTGTGCCATAGTTACTACCAGTGCCGCAGACTGTCTGTTAATGTGTACAGTATATGTCGTTTGTGTAATACCCCCATCAAAACCATGGCTATAATAACTTAACAATTTTAAGATTAAATATCTCTTAAATCAATTTATAAGTTATAAATCAATTTTTTTATCAAAAAATATAGTAATTTTAATATTATATTTTGTATAATTTTAAGTTTTAAATTTTTAAAAATTGAACTAATTTTCTAAATATATTTGAGAATCAAGTATCAAATCTCTAATACTTGATTTAAAGAGATGTTATTTTTTAATCAATTTAATCAATTTTATTAATAGCAACAAATTTGATCATCTGAAAATCTGACAAACTTTTAATTAATTTATTTATTACTGGAATCTATTATTATTATTATTATTATTATTATTATTATTATATAAAAATTTAGTCATTATAAAACATTGAAATTAACAGTTTTTAATTGTAAATATCTTTTGTATTATCATTTTGTATAGTAATTTTTATATTTTAAATTTTTATAATAAAAAATATTTAATAAAAAATTATTTAGTTTTATTAATCGGGGAGTTAAGCTATCAATATAAAAAATATCATCAAAATCTCTAATACTTGGTTTAAAAGAGATATTTAATTTTAAAGTTGTTTTAAAGTTAAGGCATGGTTTTTAGGTTCTGTATATATAAACTGCTAACTGTATGTATGTATTATATATTGTACTGTCTGTGTGTATTGAATTGTGACGATTACATAAAGAAAAAAACACATTTAATTTATACAGTATATATATAATACAATAATTGTAATATAGTCTTATGTGATATTAATTTACTAATTTAATTATTATTATATAATTGTTAATTTATGGATTATTTATGGTAGTAATGGGTAACTTTGTAGTTGCACTCCGACAGATGCCTGGATGCTATGACCACCAGAGCACCTGATGAAGTACAAATGTTAGGCTACCCCCGCAAAACATTATCTTTAAAAA